CATTCCCGCTGGGGGGTGATTTCTCGCTTTCTGTCTCTCTGTCTCTCTCTGTCTTTCTGGCAAGTGCACGTGCCCTATAGCAAAAACCTCTCAAAAAAAAGAAGAAGAAGAAGCTATTGGAGGACAGGAGAATATTCCCTTAGCACAAGATTGACTTTAAACTCCATATTTTAGTCTAAATTCATCTACGTGGTCCCTTTGGTCATGGGTTGAAACTGAATAGGCAGAAGAAAATCAGTGTTAAATAAGTTAATCACTTAAACTTTGTTTATCCAGCAAGGAAGATATTGCTGTTGGGTTGGAAAGAATGGAAGAGGAGGAGAAGCAAACAGTGATAAGCAGCAGCAGTGAGTGTAACCCCTTGCTGCAAGAATCCATTGGCTCTGCTCAGTCTGGTGATGTTGCAATGACAGAATGCCGTAAGTCTGCCCCGTGTGGATGGGAAAGTTTTTTTTTTGAAGCAACGGTTATCTGGAAAAACAGCGGGAAGATTCGATGTGTACATTATCAGGTAAGCATGCAAGGCGGCAGAGGTGGGACAGCTACATCATTTTTTCTGGACAGATTAGTAGGAAAGTGTAGCAAAAGTCTTGGCTTCTGTTTTTACCATAATGCATTGCCGAGTCTTCTCTTTTCTTTCTTTTTTTTTTTTAGGTTTTTGCCATAGGGTGTATGCGCTCACCAGAGAAGACAATGAGAAGGAAAGTGAGACATCACCTCCCAGGTGATGTCCCTTAATCCCTTCTCCTCCATTCTCCTCTCTGGATTTGTTTAGGCACGCATACACACAGGCCCAGTGCGATTTTCAAGCCACCAGGCCTGGGACTTGAACCGTGGTTGGCCATGTGGAAATCCAGTGCATTAACCACTGTGCCACCTGCTGGCCCCACCCATTGTGGATTCTATTCCTTAAGTATGACCGGTTAGTTATATCAAGTGACTTGGGGACAACTGCATGCATTGTATCCCTCCCACTGTGAATGTATACTGGTGAGGCTGCGTTGAAGTTAGACTTGTAAATTTATTGTATTACTGTTAGAGAGGAAACCATTTAGAAGTGCCGTTTGCGAAATCCCGTTTTTCAATGACAAATGTCCGTGACGACATTTAGCAATTATTACTTAGAAATCTGAAATGTGGCCCAGTTCCTTTTAAAAGTCACTTCTGTATCCTCGCAGTAAGTTTCCTTTAATATCATTTTCTAGCCCCCAAGGACTGAAGTTCAGATCCAAAAGTTCACTTGCTCGTTATCTTTGCAAACATGGAGAGACCTCTCTTACACTCGAAGACTTTGATTTTACCGTACCTTCTAGAAGGGGCATCAGATCAACACGCAAAGACTGCAGCTTGGCAGCCCCGGCATCCCAACTGCAGAGCGAAAGTCACAGTGCAGGACGGAGTCCCAGGACACGAAGCAGGTGGAAAAAGGATGTGTCTCCTCTGCCGAGCAGTCGCTCAGAGTTGCAGGATAGCAGAGAACCTTCTGGCTTCAGTTCCACGCATTTGCCTTTGAGAAAAGATGAGGGTATTAATGATACTAAGCGTGGGAAGGTTAGAAAGTCCGAAAGGAAAGCGACTTCCTTGAAAGCACCTCAAAATAAAAAACACAAAGGAGGGTGCAGGAAGAGCCGCTCGGACGCCATTCGGAGTGACAGAAGACGATCTGGGTACAGTGACACAGCGGCCGACCGTGGCCCTGCTGTACAAGACAACCAGCTTGAGCAAACGCCCTGCCTTTCCGATGCCAGAACAAGTGACGAGACCCTCCACGTGACCCCTGAAGAAAAGAGCCTTATAAAGGAAAACTCGTTGGGCTCAGAATCACATTTTCATTTCGAACCAATAACTTCTGGCCTCATGCGATGGACCCAAGAAGCAGAACTCAGCGAGAAGCATGAGGATACCTTTTTAGATGCAAAGGAAGTCAGAAGAAAAGTCGATGCTGGGGAAAGGAAGGAACATTTGCATACTGACATTTTCAAAGGGGGTTCTGAATTGGAGAACAACTGCCCAGAAACCAAGAAAGAGCGAGCTTTTGAAAAAGTATCTCAAGGTACTCAGCGCTGTAAGGCACATTCACTGTTCGTGATGAGTGGATCCTCCCAGAGCTTGTATTTGCCTGTACAGTTAAGAAGTGGGGACAGGTCCAAGAAGCGCAGCCAAATCGCAGATAGGTTCCCTTAGTTGAGCCTAATACCTTGTCTCGTTGGTCTGCAAGCCTTTGGCTGTGGCGGATAGAACCAGCTAGCTACGGCTGTGAGCCACAGCCTGGGAGGCTGGTGTCGTTAACAGCTGCCATGTCTCCCCACGGTGCAGCAGCTGGGCCTCCCCTCAGCAGGGCTTTCCCTTCCTCCCGTCTTCTTCACAGGTAGTGATCATAAGATTTTAAAGGAAAGGAGCTGGCAGGTAGCCTGGTGCTTAAGGGCGCTGGATTCTCACGTGGCTGTCCGCGGTTTGAGTCCTGGAGCTAGGGTCTTGCTTTCTCACTTTCTCTCTTTCTCTCTTTCTCTCTCACTCTCCCTCTCTTTCCTTGGTCAAATTAAAATAAATAAATTAAATAATTATTTTTTTTAAAAAATTTTAAAGGAAGGGGCCAGTAAGTGGCATGGTGGTTAAGGTGCTGGATTCCCACATGGCCGACTGCAGTTTGAATCCCAGACCTGGTGGCTTGCTTTCTCACGTTCCCTCTCTTGCTCGCTCTCTCTGGTCATATTAAAAAATAATGATGGGGACCAGCAGATGGCGTAAGTCCCGGACCCGGTGACTTAAACTCATGCCGGGTGTGTGTGCATGCGTGCCCAAGATCCTGAGAGGAGAATGGAGGAGAAGGGATTGTGGCATGGCCATCCCCCTGGGGGGTGATTTCTCGCTTTCTGTCTCTCCGTCTCTCTCTGTCTGGCGAGTGCACGCGCCCTATAGCGAAAACCTCTCAAAAAAAAAAAAAAATCACGCCCGGCACATGTGCATGCCAGCCCAGAATCCCATCCTCCCAAGGAGCGATATTTTACTTTTCTTTTCACTGTCTCTTTGGCGAGTACATGTGCCCTATGACAAAAACCTTTAAAAAAAGAGATTTTTAACAGAAGATTAAAAGACTTCAGTAGTGGAGCCAGCGGGTGGCATAGTGGTTACAGTGCTGAAATCCCACATGGCCAACCACTGTTCGAGTCCCAGACCTGGTAGCTTGAAACTCATGCCCGGCCATGTGCATGCATGTGCAAAATCCCAAGAAGACAATGAAGAATGGATTGTGGTGTGGCCATCCCCCTTTAGGGGGTGATTTCTCACTTTCTGTCTCTCTCTCTGTCTCTCTAGCAAGCATTTGTACCTTAAAACAAAAATCTCTAAGCGAAAAGAAAAGCCTTCACTAGGTGACAAATTTAGAGATTTGTACATGTCAACGTTGAGAGTAGCCGGTGTCTTCTCACACCCCCTTCGGTTACTTACTACCGCTGCGCGACTGCCACTTAATTTTGTATCTGTCATCATCATTTTTATCTGCTGTTATAATGGAAAGCTTCTCCAAAAGGCTTTAGAGCTCTAAATAATTCAGAAATGTAATCACATAGTTCATCTATTATTTGTAACGTGCTCTTAATAGAGTTCTGAGTAGTTTTGCCTTCCTAATTCCGCAGTGACTAAGAGAGAGAGAGGAGACCTTTCCAACAGCCCTGTATTAGTTATTCATCATTGCCATTATGGTATAATGAATAACTCCTTTAAAGAAGAATAGTCATTTTACTTAAAATCCTAAGGGGAAGCAGCCTGGGCAGATTGGTGTTGGGCTTGACTCCCGTTTTCAGTCCCACCCAAGATGTCATGTCCTTTCGGTGGCTTGGAATTTGTCTACCTTCAAGAGGGGGTGGCCACGTGGCCCTGTGAACTGTGTAGAATTCTTCAAGCCTGTCCTTGAAAGACTTCGTACTTCTTAAAGAAAGGTTTGTGTAGATTCATTGCAATGGAATAATGGATGAATTAAATATTAAGAGCGTCCTTTGTGACTAAGATGGGAGTAGCCTGTTCATCCTATACTTAGAGGAGCCTGCTTCTCAGCATAAGATGGAATATCCCCAGGTTAGTGGGTGTCCAGTGGGATAGTAAAGACTTCCCATTGGCCAGGCTAGACATTGCCAAGCTAGTAATAAAGGAGACTGGTTAGTAATTGCATACGTGTGCGTGGTTCTTGCCAGACAGTACATGTGCTCGCCAGAAAGAGCATACTGCCTCCTCCAGGGTGTGGTCATGCCGCAGTCCTTTTTCCTCTGGGTCTCCATGCCGTCTCTTTGTCTCGGGGGCACACAGGCACATGCTCTGGGCATGTTTTTCAAGCCAGCAGGGCTGAGACTACAGCCACAGTCGGCAAAATGGGATCTGGCTCCCACTGCCCAGTGCTCAGTCACCGTGCGAAAGGACCAGCCCCGTGAAGACAAGAACCCACAGGAAAAGTAACCCGTATTACTACTAAGAACAGCTCCTTTGTTCTCGTTCTTTTTTCATTTCTTTTTCTAAGAATGATTTCATTTACTTTATTATTAATATTTCTTTTTAATTTGCTATTGGGCACATGGTGCTCACCAGAGAGGAAGAAAGAGAGGGAAAGTGAGAAAGCAAGTGGCCAGGTTTAGGGCTTGAGCCATGATCAGCCATATGAAGTCCAGCACTGGGACCAGCAGTTGGCATAATGGCTATGTCACTGGACTCCCATGTAGTCAACCGTGGTTCGAGTCCCAGACCCAGTGGCTTAAACTCACACTGGGCGTGTGCGTGTGTGCCCAAGATCCCGAGAGGAGAATGGAGGAAAAGAGATTGCAGCGTAGCCATCCCCCCTGGAGGGTGCCGTCTGGCTTTCTGTCTCTCTGTCTCTTTCTGTCTTTCTGGCGAGTGCACGTACCCTATAGCAAAAACCTCTCAAAAAAAAAAAAAAAAAAGAGGGAACCAGCAGTTAGCGTAATGGCTATGTCGCTGGACTCCCACGTAGTCAACTGTGGTTCACATCCCGGACCCGGTGGCTTAAAACTCACACTGGGCGCGTGTGCATGCGTGCCCAAGATCCCGAGAGGAGAATGGAGGAGAAGGGATTGTGCCGTGACCATCCCCCCTGGGGGGTGATTTCTCGCTTTCTGTCTCTCTGTCTCTCTCTGTCTGTCTGGCGAGCGCATGTACCTTATAGCGAAAACCTCTCCAAAAAAAGAAAAAAAGAAAAGAAAGGAAGTCCAGCCCTTAATCAACATGTCACCCGCCGGCCTCATTCTTTCTTCATTTCTCCTAGGCTTTCCCTATTCAAACTAGAATAGCAAAGTAGCACAAGACTGGGGCTTGCCCGTAGCATGGTGGTTAGGGCAGCTGGATCCCACACGCCAACTGCACTATTCAAGGCCTGGACCTGGCAGCTTGGGAAACACACTGGGCACACGTGTGTGCGTGCCCAAAGTTGCCAAAGGCGGGAGGGGTGGGATTGCAGCATGACCTGCCCCCCATGGGGTACTTTCTCACTTTCCCTTTCTTGCCCTTTCGGACTTTGCTGAGCACACACCCACTGGCAAAATAAAAAACGAAACACTAAGTAGTTGGAGACCAGGGCATTTGTCCCAGTCTCTGGCCAGCCCCGTATCCTTCTGGGATAGTTGTGTAATTAAAGCCTTGGTTTCTCCATCTGTAAAATGCAAGTAATAATCGTGGTTCATTTCGATTTTCATATCACAGATATTATTAGGTAAAATGAGAAGTGAAAAAGATGATTTCATGTCGTGCAGATGCAAGGTGTTATTAACCAGTATTCAAATGTTGATCTGGCCAAAGGAAGTAGTAACTATAATGAATTGAGAATTTTTTTTTTCTTTTTTTGGAGAGGTTTTTGCTATAGGGCGCGTGCGCTCGCCAGAAAGACAGAGCCAGAGAGAAAGCGAGAAATCACCCCCCAGGGGGATGGCCATGTTGCAATCCCTTCTCCTCCATTCTTCTCTTGGGATCTTGGGCATGCACGCACATGCGCCCGGT